GTCGATGAGTGCATTGTCCGTGTGACACGTCGGTTCGTGCATTGTCCGTTTCTGGTTCTCGCGAGGGCGCCGCCGCCGTCGTTTTCCAGGCCTGCGCCCGCGGGAGAAACACACACACACACACACACACTGTGGGAAAACACACACAAACAAAGCACACAGAACACGCATTGTGTGTGTGTGTGTTTTGTGTGTGTTGTGTGTTTTTTCCATCTGGGCCAGAGGTCGTTTTCACGAGGCCGCGCTGCGCGAACGGGGGCTCTGTCCATCGCCTAGGGAGCCAGAGCCCCCACCCGGACGCGTCGATCCGTGGATTGTCCGTTCCTGGTTCTCGCGAGGGCGCCGCTGCCGTCGTCTTTTCCAGGCCTGCGCCCGCCAGGTCTGGGCCCGAGGCCGTTTTCACGAAGCCAAGGAGGAGGAGGGGGGGAGGAGAGGAGAGGAGGGTCAGGAGGGGAGGAGGAGGAGGAGGAGGAGGAGGAGGAGGAGGAGGAGGCAGAGGAGGGAGGGGAGGAGGAGGAGGAGGAGAGGAGGAGGAGGAGAAGGAGAAGCCACGCCGTGCGAAAGGGGGCCTCTGCCCATCGCCAGGGGAGGGATGGCGGGGCCGTACGCTGGCCGGCGTCGGGCCCGGCAGGGGGCGAGCCGCCGTGGTCGCAGCGGGCCCTCCGAGGCGCGACTCCCCCTCCTCCTCGCTCGCTCCTCCTCGATCCTCCTCCTCGATCCCCCTCCTCGATCCTCCTCCTCGATCCTCCTCCTCTTTCCTCCTCCTCCCTCCTCCTCCTCGAATCTCCTCCGCCCATTCCTACTCCACCCTATCCTCCTGCATCCTCCTCCTCGTCGATCCCCTCCCGATCCTCCTCCTCCGATCCCCCTCCCGATCCTCGTACTCAATCATCCTCCTCCCCCTCCCCCTCCCCCTCCTCCTCCTCCTCCTCCTCCTCCTCCTCCTCCTCCTCCTCCAAGACATGTCCCTGGCCCTCGGTGTCTCCAGGAGTTCCAGGAGGCCCTCACGGCCTCCAGAGAGCACGATGACAACGACGACGACGACGACGACGGCGACGCCGACGGCGGCGGCGGCGACGACGACGACGACGCCACGCCCTAGGACACGAGCGAGATGTCGATCAAGCAGGGTCTTGTCGATGTGTCGGTGTCCAAGAGCTCTCTTTCATCCTCGCACCGTGGCCCTGTCCGTGGCCACGAGTCGACGGCCATTGCTGCCCCAAGAAGGCGTCAGTCGCGGCTTCCAGAGCCACTGCATCCTCACTTGCTGTAGTAGTCTCGCGTTTTCCCCTCCCCTTCCCCTTCGCGGTCCTCCTGTCCCTCCCTCCCTGTGCGCGCAAGGGACTGCATTACAGCCCGCAGGGTCCTCATCCCCAACATCTCCTCCTCCGCATCCTCCTCTTCCTCCTCCTCCTCCTCCTCCTCCTTCTCCTTCTCCTTCTCCTCCTCCTTCTCCTCCTTCTCCTTCTCCTCCTCCTTCTCCTCCTCCTCCTCCTCCTGCTTCCCTGCCTCCCCGCCCTCCCCTCCCCTCGCTTTCGCCCTCTCGCCGTCGTCTTCCTCCTTCCTCCATCCTCCTTCCTCCTTCCCCCTTCCCTTCTCCGAAGTCGTGATCCTTTCACAACGTTGGCCCCTGGGGGTCTCGACCACGATCCTGGAACTCATCATCCTGAGTAGTGTTTGACGGCCCCGGGGCCCACTGAGGGCCCCTGGAGGGCGAGAGTGGCCAGAGATCTCGCGCCGTGATCTTTTGGCATCCGCATGAGGTGTGGGTCATCCCTTTTTCACCGTTTTCCCCTGTCGCTGTCCTTCCCTCGCCTCCCCCCTCACCCTGCAGTCCTCCCCCCTGGCTGCCTCCCGCTCGGGGCGGCCCCGGGGCTCGATGGAGCCCGCTCTCCGTGGCGGACGCTTCCGGAGGGGGAAAGCGAAGGGAAGGGGGAGGAAGACAGCGAGGTGAGAAGGGGAGGAGGAGGAGGAGTAGGAGGAGGAGGAGGAGGAGGGGGGGGAGGAGGAGGAGGGGGACAAAGACCAGTGTAAACCCAAGAGTCATCAACGATGTTGGAATAAACCCTCCGTCCAAGCTCCCTCTTCATAGGTCCCTACAACGGTTCATTTCCATGGAGGGAACTGCATCATCGTTCGAAGACAACCGTTTGAAGACCCTGAATCATGCCAAAACATTGTTCTCGGGATTCCAGCGCCAAGGATGAAACAGACTGTCGCGTCTTGACGATCCTGAATCGCTCCAGAATCCACTCCTCCTGGGACTTCAATGTAACTGTTGCACCCGCAGAATCCTGAATCGCTTCAAAACACCATTTCTGGTATGTTGATAATGGGCATCCGTAAAGCCCTTGCAACTTGTGTGGACCAATGTGCGCCGCGCTAAGGCGAGAGCCGCATGTTGAAAAGAAGCCTCCCTCGATCCGTGAAGCTCTTGCGATTGTTTAGAACGAATGTGCACCGCGCCGAGGCGAGAGCCACATTTTGAAAACGACCCGCCCTCAATCCGTGTAGTTTTTTTTACAAATGTTTAAACATGTGCACCGCGCTAAGCGAGAGCCACATTTTGAAAACGACCCGCCCTCAATACGTGAGGCTCTTGCAATTTGTTTAAACAAATGTGCGCCGCGCTCAGGCGAGAGCCACATTTTGAAAACCACCCGCCCTCCATCTGCGAAGCTGTTGCCAACATTTGAATTTCAGAGTCATAAATGATGAGGAAGTCTCAGGCGAAACGCCCGGACCGCCCGTAAAGCTGGCCTCGGGGTGCGACAGAGAGAAGTTGCTTAAAAGAACAAGGAACGGAGGAGGGGGGAGGGAGGAGGGAGGAGGAAGAGGAGGAGAAGGAGGAGGAGGAGGAGGAGGCATTGGAAGGGAGATTTGCCAGGATCGAGCCAGACGTTCTCAAATCCCTGGCCTGTATTAACGCGCCCTGGGCCCCTTCAATCTACGGGCCCTTCTCTTACAGGCTCTATATCTGACGCAAGGAAGCCAGTTCGTCCTGATGTCGGAATTTGAGGCGCCCTCTTTTGTTCGACGTTCAGCCTGCTCGGGTCGATGGTGTATTGGTGTATTGTTTTTTTGCATGAGTGGAGGAGGAGGAGGTGGATGTGGACTGACACTTCGAGCCTTCATCCCCGCGGCATCCCTAATGAAGGCGGAGGCGGAGCCTCCTCTTTCGCCCTCCTCCCTTCTCCTTCGTGCTCATCCGCCCCCAGCCGCCCCAACCTTCGATAAGAAGAAGCAGCTCCACAAACATAGGCCTGTTCGAGGTCGCGCGGATTTTTTTGGATCGGCGCTGGACCCCCCTGGCGGCGCTTCCGACGCTGCCACTGGCCCGTTCCGCGAGTCAGAGAAGGATCCCCGGCGCCAGCCCAGAGAGTCTGCGCAAACCTCCGGATGTTGGAGGAGGAGGAAAAGGAATAGGAGGAGGAGGAGGAGGAGGGGGAGGAGGAGGGGAATGATGACGGGTAGACGGAGGAGTAGGAGCAGGGGGAAGAGGGACACATTGCGGAGAACAGCGGCAGCCAACAAAAACGCACGGGCCCTCTCGGGCATATCGCAGACATCGACAAGAAGGCGCGGAGAATTCCTGAGGCACCGCCTATAGCGAGACCTCGCGCGGCCAGACACCCGGAAATGAGAGGGGGGAGGAGGATCATGATCAGGAGGAGGAGGAGGAGCAGGAGGAGGAGGAGGAGGAGGAGGAGGACCCCTTCTGGTCCGACGGCTTTTCAATCGGCTTGCAGGGTTCAGGCCATAAACATATATATATATATATATATATATATGAAAAAGAATAGATACAGATATACCGAGGTAGAGCCAGATAGACAGGCAATT